GGGATGACAGCTTGCAATAACCTATTCCAAGTACACGAGTAGCTAAAAGATAGGGACTAGGAGGCTGCAAACATGAAGTTGTGAGAGTGTGGAAGCATTTATTGCCTTCGTTTTGTCAGAACCCATTGTAGACATGTATAGGAATACCACACTGAGCCAACAAAGCACACTAGTGCATGGTGCTCAAAATCAAAAGCCGAACACACCAACCATTTTGATTCAATAATTACTCATACCATGTACAGAGAGATTAACTGCACCATAACCCATAGCTTAACACAACTAAAATAATGACCTTAAAAACTAGATAGATAAGAATAAGACTGTCAATAAATTAGTTTTAATTGATACCATTGAACTTTGTGTGTTGTGTGTTTTAGTGCATTCAATATCATCTGCAAGCCATTCCCATGTGATTCACCTGAAAATTGAGGCCAGGGTAACTGGCCTTTCTTACTGTTCCATGTGCACCCTCTGCGTGTGAGGGACTTGGGTGTGGTGTTGAAGATAGAAGTCATTTTTGGTGCTACAGCCTTAAACTTCTTTCAGGTTAGTGCTTCAGTAGACAGGTCAAACACTGGCATTGCAATTTCTTTTAGAGATGCAGAATTGTACCTCAACAATCCTGCCTGCAACCCAGAACACAGTTCAGACAGCTTCAATAGCAAAGAAATCCCTCCTGATGGGAAACGGCACTTCTCGGGGACTTGAGGAAGGCCCAGTTGAAGTTGGCATGCTCAGTAAAATGTGACTTGACTGTGCATATTCCTCTAATTCTTAAGTTGTCAAAATGCCGACAAAGCCAGTGAGATGTTTGATGGGTAAGGGCACTTGCCCAGTTAACAAGTGTGATGACCTGAACTCCATGCTTGGGCCCACAGGTCGGAAAAAGAGAGCTGACGCCCACTAGTTGTTCCCTGACCTAGACATGTGCACCGCGGCACTGTGCACACGAACACATACATAAACATATGGACACACTAAGCACATGTAGTAAAAACTTATGCCAAACATGCCAAGTGTGGTGGTTCATGTCTGTAATCCCTGGGGTTTGAAAGCTGAAGCAGGAGGATTGCCATGCGTTTGAGATCACCCTGCTGCTGCCCCTGACAGTGAGTTCCAGGCCAGCCTAGGGTACAATACAGAGGAATTGAGTCTCAATAAATAAATAATAAATATCCAAACAGTACAACAATTACATTTTAAGCTGCCTCACACACAATCTGACTTGCTGAAATGAGTAATAGAGTCCTGGTGAAAACTAAAACACTATTCTGATTTTAACAAAGGAGAAGTGGGCGTGGTGGCTCAAGCTTGCAATCCCAGATCGCAGAACTGTTTGGGCCAACCTGCGCACATAGTGATTCTAGGCTGCCATCAGGGTGGGCCACTGCTACAAAATGTCTCAAGAGGCAAAACAACAGAAAAATGATGTCTCAGGTAGTTTCTCTTCTCACTGTCATTTGCTGCACTTGACTTTGACAATAGCAATAAAAGACATGGCTCACAGCTTGCCTGCAAAACAATGCTAATAGCCACAGAATGCACAGCCACTTGAAGATAATCAGATATAATTTAAAATCCTGCCACCAAGCCACCCCTGGAGTGCCTACATAAACCGGTTGCTGTTTCATTTTACAGTAATAAAAATAATCACTGCTAATGTCTAAGGAGTGTCAGTCTGTGTCCCAAGACTTTCGTTCAGTTCTTAGAAAAGCGAGATCATACGCTTACTCTCTTCTTGTCATCTGAGGGTTCTAGAGAACAGAGAGGCAAATTAACTCACCCAAACTCCTACAACTAGTTAAGTGTAAGCATCAGTAGCGCAGCTCCACTTCACCTTTGCGCCCACTTGCCTGGATGTAAAGTACACAGAGGGAGCGGTCCATCTGCAGTAATGGAACTCCAGGTGTTCAAAATCGACAGGTGCAACTTCTGCACCACACTTCCACTGCTAGCAGCAGTGCTTTCATCTGTTAGCAGCAGCTGCCTCCAGGGGGAGCTACATTTGGCATGACCCTCTCATTCCTTACCAATGCCAGTAGGCATCATCAGGAGCTGACGCTCTAAGCCTGGGCAACTTATGTCAAATGCAGACCAGCCTCTTTCTCCCCTCCCTTCACCCATGCTGTGACCGACTCATCAGGCCTGTGCCCTGCTCTAAAGGGGCAACGTGGAACCAAACTCCAGCCCCAAGACAATCTGGAACACACTTCTCATTATTAATTAGCTAAGATGAACACTAGGGCAAAGTGACTCGTTTTAGAGAATACACAAGTCCCTGGAAATGTGTATAACCTCAGAACACCAGGCGTGTGAGAGACTGTGAGGTCAGACCAAGGCAATGCAATTCACCCTGCACTATGCAAGGAGAGAATGGAACACCTATCCCCACATGCTGTACTTGAAAATAGGGTCTTCCTGGTCCTGGAACACAGAGCCACTCTGCTCCCATGCTTCTCTTTTATATTATGGATGAGCGATGCATTTAAGAGATTGCTTTGTGACTGTGCCTTCTTGCATTAGTCGTGAAATGCTACCAGGGTGGAGTCTGTAGCCATCTGTGTCACCTCTTTGTTTCTAGAACTTTTTACCAAACCAGGCATCTATTAGCTTCTTATGAACGTTCACTGAATAAACTGTGAGTGGACATGTTTACGAATAAAACACAGACTTGTGGGCCAGCCAGCTACCTTCCCCAAGTTTCTGCCTTTAACTCTATCCTGCTTCCTTTTTTCTACACTAGGCTATCTTGTTATATTTTATGAATCCTTGTAAACTGTCTCAAATCCCTTGTGAAACAAGGTAAGAGTTAATTAAATATACTTTTCAATGTCATATATATATATATATATATATTTAAAACCTTAACATAAATCCTCTGCCAACACATACACACATTTGACCATCTGTACACTTTAAAAATAGCTGCAGTTTATCTGAGCCTCATGGTACAAGCCTGACATCCCATCACTTGGAAAACTGAGTCAGGAGGATGGTAAGTTTGAGACCAGCCTAGGATGCATATTGAGAACTTATCCAAAAAATTTTTTAAGAAGCTGAGTTTTGCTATCGCCAACAATATAATAATGTTTAAAGTGATTTCTACCTGAGGCCTAGGACCTGTAAACATAATGCATCCGTACATGCAATATGTATGGGACAAGCCCACTTCCAGTCAGACTGGGTGATTTGATGGACAAGAAAGAACACAGGGTTTCAACTGCTGTAGATTTTGAATCAAAGATTGATTAGCCTGTGAGTTTTCAGACCATAGTGCCACCTTCACAGTGAAGAGCTTGTCACTACTTATACCTTAGGTAGGGAGGAGAAAGAGTGCTAGGCAAGGCCCTGGTCCACAGGCACTAAGAGACATCTGTCCACTTTACATAATGAAGGACAGAAGGCAAACACACGGGGCTGGGGGTGCAGCTCAGTGGCAGAGCACCTGCTTACTGTGCTCAAGGGGTTCCATCCCCAGCACCACAAAGCAATGTAATAAAAAAAGCAAAACTATTCAACAGTCCAACCTCCTATCCCCAGTCACAATTTCTGACATGTTATTCTCAGGCTAGTGGGCAGGGGTATTATAAATCTAACATTTTGGCTGCTTTATATGTCCATGATCATTTCAAGCGTCTTCCTGCCAAGTGTTGGCCAGGAGTTTTTTTTGTTTTTTTTTTTTTTGTTTTTTTTTTCCGTAAGTGAAACATAACTTTCAAATACTGTTCATACAATTTCCACTCAAGGCGCAAGCTAACCACATGACAGTCCCAACCAGTCCTAATGCGGTGAAGGAGCTGAGCCACTCTTTCCCCATCCCTTTGCTCAAGAGGATGGAGAACCAGCCCTTCCTTACCCGTTAGTCAGAAATCTCCACCCAGAAACCAGAGGTTTGATTTCTATTATTTATAAACTCGTTTGAGACATTTAGCTCTTGATGACAAACTGCCAGAGGAGGAGTGGGCATGAATAGAAGGATGGTAATGATTTAAAATTGCCATAAAGACAATTTAAAAAAAAGAATTTGACAGAGTGTGGGTGAGACTTGCTTTTTTTTTTTTTTTTTTTTTTTAATGTTTATCTATTCACGTCTGGCAGGGGATGGAGATGAAGGGTAGAAAAGAAAGGAGCCTGAAAAGCCAGACAATAGGCCAGTTGCAGGCCTGACTGGCATCCTAAAGCAGCCTGCCCTGCCCTGCCCTGCCCTGCTCTACCTTCCCCTCCCCCAACACCTGGCAGTCGGTGGTTGTGATTTCAAAACAAGTAACTACTGGACCCCTACTTCCTGGACCCTGAACCCAGAATGGCCTTTTCTGCTTCTCCCTAGGGTGCAGAAGGGGAGGAGAGGAGACACAAGAGAAAGAAAAGGTGGGCATCAAACATGAACTAGCTGGTAGCACATCCTCGGAGACAGTGGCCTCCCCAAAGCTTTGGGACAACATAAATACCAAACCCTGGGTCCCCAGGTGTCAGTCTCCCATCCTCTGCATCTGCCCTGCCAGTCCCATTGCACTCAGCCAGGCAGGCGCATCCTGTGAATCTGGACCCCAGTGCGCTCAGCTGGGCAAGCGCACAACCCGCGTGGATCCCACAGGGCGGTGGCCAGGGAGGCCCTCTGAGAAGGCTCACCAGCAGGCATCACGGACCCAGGGAAGCCCCATGTCCGTGTGCAGGCCCATCTCCACAGCTCAGTGTGACAGACCCTGCAGAGCCGCAGGTGTACCCAGTCGTCCGCTCCTGCGCGGGCGCAGCCACTCCCAGGCTGAAGCTGAGCTCGCTGTCATTCTGTAGCTCCAGCACCCTGGGGATCCGCCTGCCGCGAGCCCACCCTGCTCCTTCTTTGGTGCCCTACCTCGCATGCGGCGGGCTCGCATCCATCCCCTGATGCCCCCAGCACGGCTGGGCGGCGCTCCTCGGCTCCGGGATCCGCTTCCTTGGCTCACTGCTACTCTGCTGCGTGGCGCTTCCCGCGCATCCCGCAGCTCCGGACAAAGGCCCTAGATCCGCGTCCCCGCGACCGGTGCTGCAGTCAGAGTCAAGTCCAGAGCCCGCGGGAGGCTGGAAGATGTGTGCGCTCCCAGCAGTGAGCACTGACAAAGGGCCGAGCGAGTGCGCAGCGCCCCCTCCAGAGCCCGGCTCGCTGCAGCGTCCCCGCCCGCGCCCTGCAGCAGTCTGGGCCCAAGGCAGGACCTGTACCTCAGGAGAACCCCCAGCAAGACATGCTCTGCTCCCAGTTTAGAAAGGTCTTACATTCGGTGTATGTTCTGTTTTTATCTAGTGTTTCAGAAGGACATCTTGCCTTTGGGATGTAACTTTCAGTGTTTCTAGCTAGTGAAAACTGGATGACTGAATTCCAAACCAGAGATGATCTCGATTCTAATTCTGACCCCATCTTCAACTAGGCTGGGGCCTAACTTCTGCAACCTACACTCCCTCTGCCTCCTCTGGCCCCTTGTACCTCCCTACCCCCTTCTCCCTGTAGAGACCCCAGCAGCTGAGTAGGGAGCCACCTTCAGAACTGCCACTACCCAGCCTTATGACCTTGAGGATCCCACCCGTGAGCCTGTCTGCTGAAAAGTGACCTGAATCTACTGTATCTGTCACCTTTGGGCCTTTTCTAATGCTTGTGAAGGACTCTTCAAGACTTAGCCCTTGGAAAATAGGATGTCGTAAGCAGCCAGGGCCTTATACCTCTACCCTGCTTCCTCCACCTCCCCCTTAAATGTTAGTCACTCTCAAAGCTCTACATGCCTATCAAAATGTTCAGCCTCCTACGGCTTCTGATGTCAACAGACTAGGGCAGTGCTGCTCTTCTGACATTCCTGACAGCAACCTTCTGGATTCCAACACAGTTAGGCAGTACCCAAATCTCTAAAAGTGGCCCAGGAATGAACACTTGTCATGTGCGTGCGTGCGTGCGTGCGTGCGTGTGTGTATACTCGCGCACATGTGCGCATAGGTACATGAATGTATAGAGACCAGAAGTTGGCCTTAGGTGTTTCTATCACATTTCGTTTTGTTTTAAAGCACCTTTCAATTTGGAAATTGCTGTCTTGGCTAGGCTGAGTGGCCATCCAGTAGCACCAATGTAGAAACACATGCTGCCATGCTTGGCTTTTATATCAATGCTGGGGGTCAGGACTCAGCAAGCATCTTACCTCTTTCCTGTCCTCATGAGCTTTGACACAGTCTAGAGCAGTGTTTCAACCTTCCTAATGCTGCAACCCTTTAATACAGTTCTTCATGTTGTGGTGACCCCAAACATAAATCATTTTGTTGCTACTTGATAATTATAATTTGCTGCTGTTATGAATCGTAATGTAAATATCTGGCATATGACCGCCATGCAGGTTGCAACCCACAGGTTGAGAACCACTGGTCTAGAGTCACCTGAGAGGGAAGTCTCAATTGAAGGATTTCCCGGATCAGATTGGCCTGTGGGCATGTCTATCTTGATTGTTAGTTGATGTGGGAAGGCCTGGCCTACAGCACAATGTGCAGGTGGCCTTGGCCTATATAAGAAGGCTGGCTAAGCACCAGCCTGAATGAACCAGCCAGCAACATTTCTCCGTGGTTTCTCCTTCAAGTTCTGGCCTGAGTTCCTCCCTGACTTTTCTCATAGATTGTGACCTGGAAGTGTAGGTCAAATAAGCTTTTCCCTACCCAAGTTGCTTTTGCACATGGTGCTTACTATAGCAATACATTGAAATGGAACTTTCACCAAGCTATGTCCTTGGCCCACGAATGTTTTAAACAAGTGCTCTGATTATTTCTTTGCATACAGGCTTGTGAGAATGGCCATTCTAGGGCTAGGACCATGGCCAGGTGGTAGGTACGTGCTCGATACACATGCGGTCCGAGCACTCAGTGGCAGAGCTGTGGGGTGGCCGTTGAATGCTAACATGAACAGCCTCTCGACAAATGCTGCTGCTGACCCAATGTGGAAACACGCACCACAACCCCAGAACAATCTGAGCCATAGGGCTCAGATGCCAGGATCACTGTTTCTCTGCAGTTCTTACACCCATACATGTTCCTGATCCTGCACCTCTTTTACCTCCACAGCTTCTCAGGCATTTTCATGTCTTCCTCAGATGCAGTCACGGTCTCTCTCTCTCTTTCTCTCTTCACTTAAATCTGACAACAGAACAATCTACAAGAGTGAACTCTCTCCTCTCTGGTACCTATGTCCAAAACCCCACAACCAAAAAAATATGAATTAGCATGCTCTGTCAGAACTCCAGGGCATGCTAGAGACACTGAAGGGGTTAGCAGCCTGGGATCAGCCACACACAGGTGACTTTAGAGAACCTGTTCTGGCCCCAGAAGCTAGAAATGCTACTCCTACCCCTGCCTAAACAGATGCTCACAGGCTTCACTCTGGACACTGCCTCCCAGGAATGTTGCTGATCTTGCACAGCCCTTTCTGACCCTATCTCTAAATCACCCAAATGCCATTACTGCCAGCCCTGGGAATTCCACTCCCCAGATGCTCTCTGAAGGCAAGAAGAGGAGTGCTATACTCAACCAAAGCAAAGTTGGCAAGGCCACAGCCTACATCCTGAGCCCTCTGGAAGAATACTTCACACTAAAGAGCCTTGAGAGCTGCCAGCAAGTGTGCTCAGTCAGGGTACCCAGACAGTATTCTGGAACTGTATGTAGTTGCCCCTTTGAATAACCAGGGCTAAAACCTAAGAATCCTGTGGTCAAACAAAAGCTGGCTCACCTTTAGCAGGTGAGCCAGTAGGTAAGAGTGCTTGCTTTGCAAACATGAGAACTTGAGTTAGAGTCCCCGCTGCCCAGCATTAATGAGTGGAGACAGAAAGACTTGTTGGGGGCTCACACTACAGAGTCTGCCTACTGCACATGAAGCCCAGAGTTTGCTCTCCAGCACCACATAAGCTAGATGTGATGGCATAAGTCTGTAATGCTGGTGCTCAGGTAGTGAAGGAAGGCTATCAGAAGTTCAAGGCCAACCAGGGCTGCATGAGATCCTGTCTACAAACAGTCACCTCTTTCAAACATCAGTGGATATTAAATTCTTAAGAAAAAATTTATGAAATCCTAGAATATGCCTCACAAAAATAGTGCAACTTACAAACTGACTCAGCCATCATCCCTGATGGAAGCCACAAGCCCAATGAATAAAAATCTCAAATATGCAGCATGGTCTTTGTTCACAGAAGTGGCATGCTCTTGGTTAGTTATTGGTTAGCCAAAAGACCAAACAGTGTTGGGCATGGCAGCATGTGTCTGAAATCTCAAAACTCAGGAGACCGAGATAAGAGGATTGTGAGTCTGAGACCAGCTTGGACTACAATGTAAGACCTTCTCACAAACAACACAATGAATCAAAACAAAAACCAACAACAAAAACAGAAAAAAAAGTCTTGTTCCTTTTTCTGAAGAAAATTAAGGACCTGTTATCCTTAGAAAACAAGGATCTCATCCATATACATCTATTGTAATGCTGCTGAGCATTGCAGGCTCCTGTCTGACCCAGGCCCAAAGAACTAGAAGAATGGCACGAAAATGTCAGAATGACCCCCACCTAACAAGGGCCAATAAGAACTAAACATGAGTTCAAGTCTCACTTTGGTACTCTGTATTTACCAACAATAGCACCTGGAGAGCATGGTGCTGGTTAGGTTAGGCAGGTGGGGAGATCCCAGGAGGGGGTGCTCTTCCCTCTCTTTCAGGCTCACTCATGCCTATCTACTCCTCCAGGACAACAGGAATTGTCCTCGACAGTGACTTGCGGGAGGGCATTATTTTTATTTTCTGTGTGTGAGCATTTGCCTGCATGTTATGCATGTGTATGCAGCGCCTGTGGAGACCATGAGAAGGCATCAGATCTCCTGGAACTGGAGTTACATGTGGTTGTGAAACACCATGCGGGTCTTGGAAACTGAACCCAGGTCCTCTGGGACAGAAGCCACCTCTCCAGCTCCAAGAGAAAGTTTTTACTTCATGTGGCCATACTAAGAACACCTAGGCTAAGCATGGACTCAGAAAGTCTTTAGAAAGCCAATCAGAATGGAGGCCATGGCCAGCTGGATAGACAGCTGGCCTAAGACACCTTTAGGGCAGAGCACTGGCTCTTCCTACAGAGCTGAGCTTCCCATGGCTTGGTAGAGTAAGCAAAGACTTTAATAAATTGATACTAACCTGCCAAGTACTATACCAGACACATTACATCACCCAAATCTCCCTGTTAGTCTCTACACAAAACAGATACAATTATTCTTTCTGTTCTACCTGTAGAACAACTAGGGAGCAGAGGTTCAGTTGCTTATTCGAGGTTATGCAGCTAGAAAAGGACAAGTGTTTAAACCTCAGCAGTCTGCCTCCAGGTTTAACTTTAACTGCCATTTAGCTGCTTCCTACGACACCCAATCTACCTCTGCACCCCCACATGTCAGTGAGCAGCGTGCTGGTGGCAGTAGGTTGGGCTCAGTCAATGACAAGCCTTTCTTATTTCAGCAATATTTGCTACAGAGCATGGACTAAATGGTCTATAGCACAGACAAAAACTGGCACAAACAAAAACAAAATGACCAACCAATATCACCTAAAGAGGCATTGGAAACTATATATTTCTTTTTCTGGAGACCATAAGGATCTAGAAAGCCTTTTGATATGTTTAATAAGGACATAAAAGGAATAAGCTACAGGGGCTAGAGAGATGGCTCAACAGTTAAAAGTATTTGCTCCTCTTCCAGAAGACCCAAGTTTAGATTTCAGCACTCTCTTTGAAGAGCCAAAAACAGCCTGCAATCCTACCATAAGGATATCTGGCACCCTCTTCTGGTCTCTGTGGGCACTGTATACACACACATACATACACACACACCTTCACTGTGGGCTGTGTGGCTCAGGAGGAAGTCCCTCTCCCCATGTGCCTATTGATTAACTGGGGAGCACAAATATCTCCGAGCAAGCAAACTCCTTTTCCACATCATCTCATTTTAATAATACATGAAAATCACACATTTTCATTTTACATGAAAAACATCCATCTCGGTAATGCTTTTTTACTTTTCACCTTCTACATGACTATTTCAGAAGGAACCTTTCATCAGCCTCCTGCTGAATGAAGTAACTCCTAGTCACAGGTGCCGCACTCTGATGACAGGTATACAGTGGCTCCCTGTGGTCACCAAATGCCCATGGCCCCTCCTCTTCTGTCTTCAAGCCACTCGCACAGCTGGTAGGCTGGGTAGCATTTCCCAAGAGCTCTCTAGCCGACGACACATGAGGGTCAGAGGGTCTGCTACTGTGGGTCTGCTCCTCAGGGCCTTGTTTCTAGAGACCACAGTGATTGTCAGACAGTATAGCATGTCAGTCAGAGATGTTAAGGTTTACATCAGCACATTCTAAGCCCCTGAAGCTCAAGGGTTCATTTCATGGATAAGAATAGTGCTCAGGCTGAGAGAAGAGCCCCATCAGGTCATGCTGTTCTCTAAGCTCTAACACTGTGCAATGGCAAAGCTCATTTAGGGCCATGTATGGACAGAACCCATGGTTTGTAGGAAATGCAGCACTTCATTTATGCAGTTAACACACAAGGGAGGGTTAGTCTTGTTGGCGTATGCCTGTTATCCTGGCATGACAGAGGCTGAGGCAGAGAAATCACATGAGGCTAGTCTGTCTCAAAACAAGACAAAACGTGAAACTAAACACACCAGTAAAACTTAAGACAGACACCTGTGTGTGCCTGTCTTATGGCTTCTGTTGCTACATGATAAAACACCGCAATCAAAGGCAACTGGGAGAGTAAAGTGTCTGTAACTCTCAAGTCACACTCCCTCACTGAGGGAATTCAGGACAGGAACTGGAACAGAAGCCATGAAAGATCATTGCCCAACCGGCTGCTTTCTTCTGTACCCCTGGGAATGCCTGCCCAGGGATGGGGGACAGAAAGCACTACTCCCAGTGGGCTGAGTCCTCCCACATCAGTCATCACTCAAGACTATGTCCCACAGACTTGCCTACAGTCTGACCCTATGGAAGCATTTTCATAACTGATAATCCCTCCTCTCAGATGACTCCAGCTCTGTCGTTGACCAAAAACTATCCAGTACAGTGCACAAATGCTATTACTGTGCTTCCGCCATTACGACCAAGATAATAACCCACCCCCACAGTGTCAAAGCATCTTCCTTCCCAGCAGATACCTGAGAAGGGCTTGTGGACCCCTGAAAACTCCCTCAAAAAACCTTCTAATGCTACTACACTTGAGTTTCTATAATGTTCCTCCCACCTATAAGCTTCCCTGGTCTGCACTTAGAAATTGCCTCCGCTTGATTTGTCTGCTTTCTTTATTCCCTTGACCCCCTTCTTTCCATCCTCAGACTACTAGGATAGATGGATTTGAAGTTTGCTTGAGCCCAAATGCTTACTGACACTGCCCCCTCCACCTCCCAAGAGCTGACTTGTAGCCTTTCCACCTTCCAAGTGCTAGGTGCAGCTTCTCCCCACTGTAGCCTCCCCAGTCTTCAACGCCCTCTATTCTCAAATGCTTCCCTTGGTAACAGATCCATTTTCAGGCCTGTTTGTAAAACAGACCTTGAACCTTCCAGAACTGCCTCCTGCTTACAGGGCGATTCTGAGAAGACTGACCCCTCTGATGTTAGCGACATTCTGGTGTGTCGTAGTTTACAAAGCATGGTCAGCAGATTCTCACATTGCTCCATTCTGTCCTGTCTAGGGCTAATCTGGCAGAAAACAGCCACTACAGAGATGGGGCCCCCTTCTCCTGGTGTTCTGGCTATCAAGGTCCTTAAACATCCAGCCATTGGTAGCAGATGTCTTAGTGTCAAGGAGGCCACAGATCAGGGTTCAAAGCCAGTCCTGACACTTCTTATCTAAGTGCCTGTGATCTGTATTTTGATTTCCTCCAAGTGGAAATCAAATAAAACAAATGTTAACTCTTTTCTGTAAATTGCCTAGCATGGTACCTGGCATGTAGAAATGGCTCAGAAAATGGTCACCACCACTAAATTACTTTTTTTTTTTTTTTTTTTTTGAGACAAGACCTCCTCCTGTAGTATAGAAAGGCTTTGAACTCATAACAGTCCCCCTGCCTCAGTCTTCCAGGTATAGGAGCCCACAGCCAGCTTTAAGTTCTCAAATATTTACCTCTGAGGCCTTTGCTCCTTCCAGAACACAGCTGAGCACCCGTATGTATTCCGATGCCCCTTTAAGGATGTCAACTTTACTGGGCTTCCTGTTCTGGGGCAGAAATGGCACCAGAGCCTTCAGCTTGGTAAAACCCCGGTTGAGATTTTTTATCTAGAAAGCAAAGACACAGGGATACACTGATACATTAATTTGTGCAGACATTTCCTGAAACCACAAAAGAGGGTGGAGAGGACGCACCTACTGTACGCACTTCCAATGAAAATTGAAAATACGCATCTAGTGGCCTTGAAATCAACTGTTATTTTTCTAGTGCATACTGGCAAAAGCACCCTTCTCCATTCTTAGCCTTCCCCCAACTTCTGTTAAAGGCTTCTGTCCCGCGCGGTCCTTTCCGGACAACAGTTCCGGATGTTCATTTGTGAGGGGCGTGGCTGAGAGGTTCAGGAAGAAGTACTAGGCCTAAAGATGCGCTTCACTCTCCCCCTCAGTTCCTGCGGCAGAGTCGCTTTTGCTACAGCCAGACCCAAAGCTGAGCAAAGGAGCCCAAACCTTGACTTCTTAGAGGCCAGGTTTTCCCTGAGACACTAAAACCTATCAGCAGAGGCTGCTCTACCCTCAGCCCACCATAAAGCCCAGTTCTGCTTTGGGGATGATTAAGAGACATTGTTTTGACCCTAGGTTATCAAGTCTCTTCAGGACTGGCTGCAATGTTCTCTTCTGTGGCCTAGCAAGGCTGCTCTTCCCTCGTGGGAAGAGTCTTCCCCTGCTAGTGGACTTGGAAAGGAGCAGGTAGAAGAGGATGGAGGGAGGGTGGGATTGGTAGGGAACGAAGGAAGGGGCTACGGCTGGGATACAAAGTAAATAACCTGTGATTAATATAAAAAATAAAAAAAGAGTTTTTTTTTTTGTTTTTTTTTTTTTTTTTTTACCACTTACAGGGTGTACAGGGTGGGGGTGGGTGGTGCCAGAGAGATGGCTGCATGGATCAGAGTGCTTGCCAAAACACCTGGCAGCCTAACTTTGATACCCAAACCCCTTATAAGACTGAAGGAGAGAAGCCATGCCGAGAAACTGTCCTCTGACCTCCACACTCCACAGACATACTCCTCCGTAAGAACATCAAGCAACCTTTAAGTAGCTTCCGAGATTAAGCTCATGTATTGCTCTTGCAGAAGGCTTCTGCAAGTTCTGGAGTTCGGTTTCCAGAACTCCAGCTCCAGGGCTTTCTCCCAGCCCCTGAACTCGGGTGCACGTATTCACATGAGACACACACAGGCACATAATTTAAAAATATTTTTTTTAAATAGTAACTTGGGCTGGGGAGATGGCTTAGCAGTTAAGAGTACTTGTTCTTGCAGATGACGTGGGTTCAATTCCCAGCACCCACATGACAGCTCACAACTGTCTGTAGTTCTGGTTCCAGAGCCTCTGACACCCTCCCTTCTGCCTGCCTGGGGTACCGGCGACATACATGTGCACACAGGTATGCAGGTGAGAAGACGCTCCCACAAAATATAAGCTGATGAATCTTTACATTAAAAAAATGAGGAGGTAACAGTAACTTCCATGAGAGGCCCCCACCCACTCTTTGAGGTCGGGGTGCACCAGGCAGGAAAAAGAACTCTGGGGACCCCTTTAGAACCCACAGACGTGAAGACGTGAAGTTGGCAAGGGGCTCTTCTCTGCCCGCTCTGCCCGCTCTGCCCGTGCTGGACCTGCACTATCCAGGAGGGGCAGCAGGTGAGACGGCCACTCCCATGGCCCTTAACACACTGCTGCATGTAGGTGCCGTGTACCAAGGCCACTGGGGACCCGGGTCCAGCCTCGCAAAGGCGAAGTCACCCAGGAGTGGCACCGAGGGAATGCACAGGCGGCGGGTTCCTTGAGCACCCGCTAACATGGCGGTAGGCGTAAGGCGGCCCTGAACCCTCACCCGCTCGCGCTCTTTGGCGTTGGCCAAGCGCCTGCGCTCCAGCACCAGGTGCAGGTCGTCGGTGGTGGAGTAGCCTCCTGAGGGCAGCCGCTTGAGCCTGCAGATGGCAGCGAGCCGGGGCAGGGGCCCCAGCTGGGCCTGAAGCAGTTCCTCCAGCAGCTCGGCCTGCGGGGCGACCAGGAAGGGCTCTGGGGATGCAGGTGACGTGTCCATGGTGGCACGACAAGGCCACGGGCAGGCGAGGGCCTTACACCTGCCGTGCCTCAGGTGCTCTGGGGCACGCAGAAGGCACGTGAGGGCGGGGCCGGCGCGCAGAGGCCGATGGGCGAGGGCCTTAGCCCTGGCACCCTTCGCACCTGGGTGTGTGAGGCGGGCCGCGCCGAGGGGGCGGAGCCTTGGTGGGAGGGGCTTGTCGAGGACCTGGGCCGCTCTCACGTTATGATCAAAAGGCCCGACACCTCCTTGAGCTGCAGAAGAGGGGCCAGGACTGGGCGGCAGGGACCAGGTGGAGGGCACAAAGTCCCTAGAGAGGCCATGATGAAAGGGTCTTAAACTCTTAGCCCACAAGGCCTGAATGCAGGCTGGAAAGGACCGGGCGGGCACGCCGAAGTCTGCAATCAAACAGGCTTTATATGCCTGAACCTGGACAGTTGGTCCGAATTCCCTCCCTGGAGCCTACCTGGTGGAAGGCAAGACTTGACTCCCAAGAATTCTTTGACCTTCTTTCATGTGCTGAGGAGAATGCACCCACAAACGTACACACAGAGACAACAAATAAATGAAAAGAAGAAAAAAAAAAAAAACGGCCTATTACCCGCCATTCCTTGAGCTTCGGGAGAGTACGTGGAAGAGCAAGGGTGAGTGACAGAGCACATGGAGAGCCACAGTCTACAGGCCTTATACCTGGTTCACTAGGGAGCACGAGGCAGGACTCAGGAAGGATCGGATTTGTAGGGGGACCCTAGGAGGAACACGGCCTGTGAAGGGTCAGCCCTGGGTGGAGGCTTATCAGCCTCAAGAAGATAGTGGTAAGGGCCTTAACCTGCCTCATCTGGGCAGCAGCAGCGCCCCTGACAGTTGGCTCTTGGGAGGACTCTATAGGAGGATCCCTCTATTGGGAGCGGAGGCAGGGGAGGGTGGTCTGAGGGTGGTCCTGGGGCTCAGTATCAGGACTGGTCAAGAAATGCAGCACAGAATTGGTGGAGGAGCGATGGAGAAACTGGCTGAGGACAGAACACTGAACACTTACATCCAATCTTCCAACCATCCCCACCTCTACAATGGTGTTCACGGGTCAGGAAAGCTGGTAAGTGTGTGGAGGCCCTTGCCGTGCAAGCCTGATGACCTTTGGTCAGTTCCCGAGCCCATACTAAGCTGGATGAAAAATAACCAACTCCAAACATGTCCTCTGACCTGAAAACAGGAGCCTGTAAATAAACATGCATGGGCATGGGCACACACGGCCATAGACAGCCACACACAAAAGCACACACACACACACACACCCAAGCACATGTGCATGAATGCTCACGCCTGTAAAGGCCCTTACCTGCACACACACTCAGATATCACACACAAATGCAGAAACTGCATGTGGGTGCAAAAACATGTATACACATACATTCAAACAGGAATGGGTTTCTTTTGTTTTGTTTTGTTCTAATGGTGTGACCAGTTCCTCCAGTGTGTCTTCTTTTGCTGGAGAAACTGTCCCTTGCCCTGGGAAACCAGACCTGGGTGTCATTTCATGTTAACTGTGGGATCTATGGCTTCTCCTTTGTTTTGGGTTTCCATCACAGTGTGTGGGACCCCAACGGATGTCCAGTCATGTCCTGACTTTAAGAAATCTCTGGATGAGGAGATTGGGGGACCCAGAATGCCAACAGCTCAAACCATGTGATGGCCAGTGTTACAGCCTTCTGCTGCCATCAAGCTACCTGTGTCACAGGGCAGACAGGGAACAGACACTCAAGAGTAAGTGACAAGCATGTCACCTCCCCCAGTCAGCTGAAGATCTCTGTTTCCTCAGATGGCTCCAGTCAGTCTGTGGAGAGTTTCATCCCTCTGTTCCCTCTAAATCTCTGTCAACGATTGAAGGGGAAGTGGCTGGAGAGAGCAGAGCACTGACCCTGTCTTGTGACCAGTAAGGGGTCTTCTACGGCCTGCACCTTCTCCCATCTATCCAGTGCCTTTTTGGCTTCTTGAAGCTTCCATTATAACTGTGACTCCTTGCTACTCTGGAATGTGAGCACCCTAAATCTCTAGCTCTGGGCTAAACAGAACATCAATATCACTGCTATTCAAAGCTCAGTAAAACCAAGGCAGGAGAATCACCAAATATCTGAGGCCAGCCTGACTTATGTAGAAATCCAGCCCCCAACTCCTGCCAAAAAAAGGCATGATTGTCTATTCAGAAATACCAATATGCTTCACCCCTCAGAGACTACTAATGCCATTTACCATGCTCATAGGAAAATGGCGGCAGCATTTCTCCTCTGCAGGGAGGAGAAACAGCTCCATGGTCACCTGCATTAAGGAAAGCACCTGCGAGGTTCTTTGCACTTGTTGGTGGGAAAGCAACAGCATCACTGGAGGTGCCTCCTCTCCTCTCTAGAATGGACTTTGTGAGACAGGGTCTCACTATTAGCCCAAACAGGTATATTACTGCCTCTCTTCCTGAGTACCAGGACTTCAAGTGCGAGCTAGCATAGCCAGCAAGCCTTTGCTTTTTATCTTCTGGATGAGTGATCTAATTGCCTTGGGCATGAGTGAAAAGTATAAAGATATTACCCACCTTTAGCCCTAAAACATCATGAATCCAGGACATAATTTCCTCCCTCATCACTGAATTTCCTTATCCCATGTGCCTTCAGACACTGTTTAAGTTCATCCCAGACCTAATAAGCTCCTGGAACAAAGTGGCCTCCTGTGTTCCCCTTCCTTCTCAGGCCTTCTGCCTGCTACCCTGGGTCTGCAGTGCTCACAGAATGAGGACCATTGTGCTTTGTCTGGTGCAAGCCTGGAACAGCTGAAGGCTGAGGGGAAAGTCCATGTACACTTGATTAAAAACCCCACGTTCCCTCCCCCTCTTTTGCCTGCCCTGGGCTTCTCACCTTCAGCTTCCTCTAGACCTCCACACTCTCCAGGTCTCCTTCCTGGAGTTGCTCTGCCAGTCCCCCAATGCTGGGAAATACAGGAGAGACCTGCCTCAAGACTGAGCACACCCAGCAAGACCCATCAACAGGCACAAGTTTCCAGAGTCCTGTGCTTATGGATTTTACATGCAGGCACGTTTGCTCTACACGAAGGTATGTGCATTCCTGGTGACAGCTGAGGTGGCCATGGGGAGTTAGATCCCTGACAACTAGAGTACAGAGCAGAGAGAGCCCCCATGTGGATGCTGAGATCCAGACTCCGAGCCTCAGGATTGAGCCCAGTTCTCTTCAGCACCGAGCCTTCCTCAGATCCCCATGCAATGTCTTTATAGTAAGTTGTCTCTGGAGATCACTGCAAAGCAGAAGGGTTTCTCCCCCATACCCTGAGCTGTTCATCTAGGAACTTGTATGCTCAATGACATGGGACGCACAGCCCAGTCTAAGTCTACCGATAGACTTAGAACTCTGCCCTGGCCTAAGCGTGGTAAGCAGAGGACAGGCATGTGTCTGCAGGGCCAGCTGTGATATAAGGAGGGATCGCCTCTCTATTCTCTTAGGCCAGACCAGCAAGCAACAGCAGAGACCGTAATAGGGAAGGGTAGAATAGGACATGTGGGGAGAAAGAGGGTCTCTGAGGCAGGGGTGGAGATGGGGATGGGAAAAAAGCATGTGTGAAAAGGACACCTACAGATTCACTTCCTGAACTCACCTGGTCAGAGATGCCACAGGGCCAGTGGTAAGAAAACGACACACTGCGATGATGGGTTGGTCGCCCCCTCCCTTCCCAGTGCCTGAAGAGGAAAAGGTCTTCGGGGACAATGTCCTTCGCAAGTGATCATTAACCAAGCCGTTTATCATTGGCACATTTTTCACATTCCAACAAATAGTACGATTATATTTATATGCACAGATGAAAATGGAGAAAGTCATCATCCTTATCTTATTTCACATTTTAGTAACAATTGTTTGATTTTTTCCCCCATTCATTGTGATATCAGTTTTTGGTTTGTCTTATAAAGCTGTTACTATATTGAGGAGATATATATATATATATATATATATATATATATATATATATATATATAATATAGTATAGGATATATACTATATATCCTTCTATTCCAAGGATCTCCCAGGCTTTTATCATGAAGGTTTAATGACTAAAGAAACTCCATTTTATGCTAGGCATCCATCTTGGTTCCTGCTAGCAATTTGTCTCTGACTCCAGTCCCTGGAAGATAAATTCCCGGTAACACTGACTCACTGACCCCCACCCCAACCCCCCCAGAAATGTACAGCCTTGACCATCTATTTCTTATATGACTGTTTGGGGTATTTGTTTGTTTGTTTGTTGGCTTCAGTGGCTTGCTTAGGTAGATACCCAAGAATTGTTTTGAGGTGGCTTGACCACTTAATATGGCAGAAGAGAGCAGATATTTTGCTTGTTTGTGTAAATGTTAAAGGTCTTCTTGTGGTTTTCACCTTTAAAATTCTTCCTTCTCACAGCAATGTCAAGTTTGGCTCAGAGATTGCCATCCTGCTAGCAGCTAATCAATAAATCCTTTAATTATAATTGGATTAAGATTTTTGGTCTTTTTCCCAGTGGTCACGAACTCCATAACAAAGGGACACTGAATTTTACCAAAGTTTTGGTGCCTGAACTGAGATGGTCATGTGACTTCTATCCTTGAGCTCACTGCTTTGATGTATTATGTTCATTGACTTGGGTATACTGAAATTGCATCTCTGGAACACATCCATCTCCATCTTATGTAGTTACTGCTTTGATGTTTCCTTCAAATCCATTTTAAAGGATTTTATGATTAATTTTTGCATCTCAGTCCATCAAAAAATCTGGATTTTCTTAGCTCAATATAGAGTGAGCATGTTCTCAAATTAACTTTTCACATTTTAGAAGATTTGAAGTAAAAGATCAATTTGGGCTTTGTGATGCCTGATAGATTTATGCCATATTTGCATATTATTGGAGCTATAGGCATTCACACCACATCCTCTTGGTGTTTACATACTAACTACTTTCTATAATTTTCAAAGGAC